CTGTGCGCAATTTCAATCCGATCATGTTGTGCATTTACATGCATCGACGGTTTGAACAGAGGAAGTCATCAGTTTCTCTCTCTGTCTCGTGTGTTTGCCTTTTGCGTCATTTATCTTTTTCAAATGGACCCACGCTGTGTTGTCGTTGTGTTGACATATAGCAGCCATTCGCAGTAAGGATAAGGTACCTGTCCATACACACTGATTCGATTGAGGTCGGTATAACCCACCTGTGTCAATTGAAAGGAAATTTTGGTCCAAAGGAGCGTTATCAGGTCATTGTGTTCACATGAAGCATTTTTATATCATTCAGACTTTTATTCCAGTTATTAGTGTCCTTGTAATCATGGCTAATGACTGAGCTGTGAGCAGATATGGAGCTAATGTGATTTATCTTACCCTTTTGAGAATAGTTTCTGAGCTCCTCTCCTATTATAAATGTATAAACACTGGACACTTCATTACATCTTGCTATTACCAGCTGGACTTCCTTTTGCTTTCAGCACTGCTGTAATTCTTTGTGGCATAGATTCAACAAGGTGCCGGAAATGTTCCTCAGAGATTTTGTTCCATATCGACATGATAGCATCACGCAGCTGCTGTAGATATTTTGGCTACACGGCTATCTAATGATGTGAACCTCTTTCACCACCATGTCCTGAATGTTTTGGGATCTGGTGGCTCTGGAGGCCATTTAAGTACAGCGATCTAATTGGTCATGGTCAAGAAACCAGTTTGAGATGATTTGAGCTTTGTGACATGGTGTTTTATCCTGCTGCAAGCAGCCGTCAGAAGATGTGGTCATAAAGGGATGGCATCAACACTCAGACAGGCTGTGGAGTGTAAGCGATGCTCACACGGTGACCCAAAGAAAATGTCCCATAGAGCAGGGCGACATGACCAAAAATATTTATCACGATATACATTTGAAAATTTGCGATAACGATATAACTGACAATATAATTGACACGAGACTTTACAACTCCTCAACTGCCAAAACCCCCCAAAACATCAATGTATTTTCACTTACACAAGCAGCTTTTTTAAGTGCATTAAAGTTATATAAAAAATTTACAGTGCAAATACAAATTCCTTGCTGACAGTTTAACCAAAAGGCATTTCCAGTGAAAACTGGCCGACATATCCTCAGCATAACCATGTATAATATCCACAAAACTTAAAAAGAGGTTACACACACACAATACTGTAATATTATGTTGAAGCGCAGCACGTATCACTCCGCGGGGCTCCTGACTACGATGGCTGTAATGCTCCGACAATCCATCAAGCGGTGCGGCTCCGTAGCTTAGCAAAGTCGTACTGAAACATTTGACAGATTTGCGAGCGCCGTGTACATAAAACTGTTTCGAGGTCAGTAAACACAACCAGAGTTCATACATAAGGCACACGGGATTATAAAGGGCACTGTCGATTTTCAGAAAATCAAAGGATTGATTTTCCAAACAACACGGTAATAACGACGGCCCGCTAGCATGCTCTACCAAAAATAGTGCTTTGTTGTGTATCTGACGGACGAAAGCTAAACCAGTTCCAAACCCCTGTCGTTGCAGCATTTTTACAAACCAATTCTGGTTCATCCGTTTCATTCAACGATCCACTTTCGCTCTTCTCATTCTGCATCGCTGCCATGTGCGTATGTAAACAAAGGCACTGCGCATGTGCTTTTTACCCATATTCTATCGCGATATTTCATTTTCTTATCGTTGCCCAACATACACCGGTATTACCGTGAACGGTATGATATGGCCCAGCCCTAATATCCCCACACCGCCTGAACTGGTGGTACAAGCCTGTCTCCACTCTTGTCAAGTTCTGGTGTGGCTGTGGAGCTGTAGCCTCAGTTGCCAGTTCTTAGCTGACAAAAAGGGCATGCAGTGCGGTCTTCTGCTTCAGGTTGGATGTTTTATGCATTCAGAGACGCTCTTCTGCATACCTTGGTTGTAACGAGTGCTTATTTCAGTTACTGTTGCTTTCCTATAAAAAAACAAAACAGTTTGACTTCTGGCTCTGATAAAACACTTCCTCCACTAGATATAGTCTCGATTTTGAACCACTCTGTGTAAATCCTACTGATAGTAGATCAGCAGTTTCTGAAGTACTCAAACCAACAACCAGGCTCATTTAAATCATCTTTCTTTCCCATTGTGATGCTCAGTTTGAACTACATGCCTAAATGCATTGAATTGCTCCTGCTGTGTATGTGTATATATCTGTGAATCCATGCTGATTGTAACTTTGAGGGGTGGCATTATTCAGGTGAATGTATTGAAGATTATAACATAATAGCACAGTTGAATCTATGGTTTCCATCATGCTTACGTAACAGGGTGTAGTTCAGACAAACTGGGTTTCAAATAAATCTGTGTGCACAGATTTGACTTAAATATTACAGAACGATATGTCAGTTACACTGTGTACTTATCCAGATATAGCACTGCTGATGTTTCCATGGCTTCAACTGTAGTGCAGCTGCAGCTGTTTTAACAACAGAACTAATTAGAAATATCCGGCGGGTAATTACATCGCAGGGCTTCATTTAAATGATGTCCAAAATGCATCAACAGCTGTCTGCAGCGCTTCACTACTGAGTGAGCGCGTGAACAAGTGGGCAGTGGGAGAACAGGCATGGTCTCAGATAATCGGGATCCTTTTAGCCTCTGTAATTTGTGACCGTAATTAATTTAGACTGGAGAGAGCGTGAGTAGGGTCAGAACTCAGAGAAACAGACGGGAATGTAGGAAAAATACCTCCCTCGCTGTTGTTGCTCTCTAGCAAAACACCTGAGCAGTGGAAGTTTCCAGTGGCAAATTGGCATTACATGCTGTGCAGCAGGCAGCATTAATGCGTGTACACGTGACACGGCGCGCAATCACCTCGTGAACTGGAAGGTCACAGGTCACCGATGTAGCTTTGATCAAAACTCGGTGCCAGTCACCACAACATCCCCCTTTTACTGGGAAAATCCAAAACTGTGTGTGTCATCTTCTAGCTATGCAACCACACACCTTTCTATTAAATTGCACTTCCCCAGAGGATGATTGCAGTTGAGCAACAGCTCAGACTCTGAGAGAATTTAAAAGACACGAGTGATCAGAGAGGATGTGAGGACAATTTCTTTGATAACTGCTTAGATAAACCTTTGAAGAGGCAGGAAGTGAACTTCGAATGGGGAAAGTAAAGTTAGCGTCTTGACCGCGGGCAGGCTGAGTAACGTGAGCGATAAAAGGGAAAGTATTTTAGGCCGGGAGGTCCTCACAAGTCCACGCACACACAGGCGTTGCTGAGAGACTTTTGGAGAGCAAACAATGAGGGAATAAAGGGAGAGGAAACTGAGGACGGGCTTTACGCACACTTTTCAGAAACGGATAATGTGCTCTGTTGAGCTCTCTGTTACAGCACATTTCCCTAATCCCCAAAGCCGGAGACATCCAGCTTTTTGTTTTTTGTCACACTCTGGGAAAGCTGTTTGTGTTTTAGAAGTTCTGTCTTATTGAAAATGATTAAAATGCCAGAGGATGAGAGTACATCTCCACTCTTGGCTTGACTTCCAAAACTATTTTCCATGATGACATAATTGAAGGAGTCGGCGATTAGTCATTTGATTTGTTATTTGACACAAGTGGCAGAGGCTGGGTGTGTATTTTTGGCAGCCGCACGGTTAATCATAGACACATTTACTGCAGTAGCTCGCTGTCTTTATTAATGCTTCAGTACTTCTTTAGCTGAGTTGCAGGAGGGGTAATATGGGTCTGTGCGCTCCGCCATCTCCAGGAAACTTTACACGTGGCAGACGCACACACATGATAAGACGCATCTCCCGAAGTCTGCTGGTAACCTCACTGTGTCATGAAAATCGGCCTTGTCCCGGCTGCCAGGACTTCCCGTTCTTCCTGTGGTGTGCCTGCTTCTGTGCTTTCCAAAATGACAGGGAGAGAGATGGCTCAGTAGTGAGGTTGGGGGGCTTCAATGAAGAAAAGTGGGTTGACTGTTGAGGGGCTGCTGGAAAGGAGCCAAGGGAAGTCATTTATAACTTCGAGAGAGGAGGGACTGTTCACCGTGTGACTGCTTGTTAAGGCACGAGAGCTATGTGTCTGCAAATGCCCCTGTGAATTATAATGCTGTATGACCCCCGAATTCAATTCTGTGTGTGACCCACTGAGGGGAATCTGCTGCCAGGGGAAAATATATCATATATGTATACTAAGACGCAGACGGAGGCTGTGCGTGCGGCTCGTATTTCTATTTAGGCTGCTTGTGAATAGATTCAATTCAATTCAATTCAATTTTATTTATATAGCGCCAAATCACAACATAAGTCGCCTCAAGGCGCTTCATATAGATGGAGTCAAGTTATGTGGAGTCCAAGCCTTACATTCATTACCACGTAGGTGTCTGTACACATGAAAAAAAGGAACCAAAAAAGAAAGGACTGCTGTAAACGTTTACATTGAGATGTCCAAAAAAACCTCAACATTATTAAAGCAGTGTGGGATCATCTTGAGAGAGAACAGAACAAAAGAAGCCAACATCCATAAAAGAGCTTTGCATGTCCCTCAAGAAGCCAGGAGAACTATTCCTGTAGACTACTTAAAGAAATGACAAGAAAGCTTGACCTAGAGAGTTCAGGCTGTATTGACTTGAGTTGACTTTCGAGCTTGTTAGAATTGTGCAAACTCTGTTTTTCCTTATTATACTGCACTGCATGTGTTTGCCCATGTTCCAATTTTCCAAGTGAAATAAAAATAAATGAAGGTTGGCTCACAGCTTTTGCAGACTACTGTATGTCATTTAGTTTTTTGTAGGGATGATATTTTAACCCATAAAATGCAAGAATTCTGCTGAATGAAAAGTTGAATGGCTTCATTCATTAAAGAAACTAAATGTTGCATTGAAGAAAAGTGTTTCTTTGTTTCTATATACTGTAGGTTGTAGTTCTTGACAGGTCATATAAATTGCCACTTTGTTTCTTTGCCTTGCAGTCTGTCGGGGTACAGACATGAAGCTGGCCCTGCCCTCCAGCCTGGAAAACCACTATGAGACTCTGAGGCTGCTCTACACCGGTTGCCAGGTTGTTCATGGAAACTTGGAGATTACACACCTCCATGGAAACCCTAACCTCTCCTTCCTGCAGGTATAGTTTGAATGGAAACGCAAAGAAAATGTTAATACAGTTAATAAGCTTGGTTAGCTCCAGTGTTCCTCACCTTTGTCTCTCTTCATCTCTTCTTCACCAGGGGATTGTGGAGGTACAGGGTTATGTACTCGTTGCTCATGTTTCTGTGAGCCTGTTGCCCTTAGACAGCCTTCGGATCATAAGAGGCAGCCAGTTGTACAACTCCAGCTACGCGCTGGCTGTGCTGGATAACACTCACGCCGGTCAGGGGCTGAGGACGCTCCGGCTACGTAGCCTCACAGGTCAGACGTTTTCCTCAAATCCGGCGTAATTTGATGTGAGAAGTCTGGAGCTCAGACTCATTTTCTTATCCTCAGCCGCCAGCTTTAAAACACTGAAGTGTTTCACTGGAAGATTGGTCAGAACAGAGGCCCGTTTCTCTCAGCATCTGTTGTCTTCTATAAGTTGTGGAGTCACTTTTATGTATTATCTGTCCTGCAGAGATCCTGCTGGGTGCAGTGTATATTTGGGGGAACCCCCAGCTGTGCTTCCCAGACCCCCAGAACATCAATTTGACGGACATCTTGGATGAGCAGAATGGCCGTGCCAAGGAACACCGACTGCAGCCTCGGCCTCCTAACTGTGAGCAGCTGACTGACTCTAATAGTGAACAAAGAGAAACATCATGCAGCGATTTGTCGATGTCATAAAGTCATTTTACATGTCAGATGTTTCCTGGTTGGGAGCATATGTTGATCTAATACCCGTGTATAGCTTTCAGCACTGATGGTGCCTTTCCAGATGTGTAAAGGCGCCATCATTACGTTGAGGAGCATTATTCCAAAATCTTTCCACATTTTGAAGACACAGTTTTTTGCAGATTAGTGAACCTCAGCCCGTCTTTATTCCTGAGAAACTCCTCTCCTCTCTTTTTATACCCAGTCATGTTAGTGATCTGTTGCCAGTTAACCTCATTAGTTGCAAAATGTTCCTCCAGCTGTTTTTATTTTTTGCTTGCTTTTCCCGCTTTTTGTTGCCCTGTCCCAATTTTTCGAGACATGTTGTTGCCACCAGCTTCAAAATATTTTTTCATCAAATAGTAAAATGCCTCAGTTTAAACATTTGATGTGTTTTCTTTGTCCCACTGGGGATAAAATGTGGGTTTGTGAGATCATTGCATTCTGATTTTATTTTACATTCTAGCGCTGTGTCCCAGCAATTTTGGAAGTGGGTTTATAAATCCTAATGTGGGCAAAAATCGTTTATGTTGGTTTTGGATACTTTACATAGATTTCTTTTATAGAGTTTGACCTTCCAGCAAACGGCTCTCATGAACCGTACTGGTGCCTTACATAACCACGGATCAGCCAGCATGTCCGCATGCTCTTGAATCTTTGTCTTTCTTGTAAAATTGTGGCTCAGCTTTCCCTGGTTTTTATTCCTGGCTTTCTTCTGGTGCAGGTCCAAGTTGTTCGCCTGCATGTGGGAAAAGATGCTGGGGAGAGACTCCTCAGGATTGCCAAACTTGTGAGTTAAAATCACACACACAGTCATGTTATGTAGTTTTATGTAGACAAAAGCAGAGCAGATGAAGTTTTGCTGAAATGTTGACTGTTTGTTTTGTGTGTGTGTATGTTTAAAGTGACCCGAGCTAAATGTGCGTCTGGCTGCCAGCGGTGTAAAGGTCCTCTACCCAACGACTGCTGTCACCTGCAGTGTGCAGCTGGATGCACTGGACCCAAAGACTCAGACTGTCTGGTAAACAGTCCTGTTGTTTTTGTTTTCTTATCTACAGTGTAATCTCCTTTTTTCCTTTTCCTTACTGGAGAAACATGTTTCCTCCTTCCTCTCTGCAGGCTTGTCGTCACTTCAACGACAGCGGTGTATGTAAAGAGAACTGTCCACTGCCCACCACCTATGACCCCGTCACGTTTCAGTCCCAATCCAACCCACATGGGAAGTTTAACTTTGGAGCGACCTGTGTCAAGACGTGTCCTTGTAAGAGTTTGCCTTAAAAAAAAAAACTGCTTAACCAAGAAAGCTGTCACACGCTCGCTGATTTATTTATTTTTTTAAATCCCTGCCTCCCATCTTGGACACTTTGTCTCCTGCCCTGTAGATAACTATCTGGCGTTGGAAGTGGCCTGTACTTTATCTTGCCCCCCAAACAACCAGGAAGTTGTCGTCACCCAACCTGACGGGACAGAGACGCAGAAATGTGATAAGTGTGAAGGAGACTGTCCCAAAGGTGAGGTAGTCATTCTGTTTTCTCCTGGGAAATATCATTCTGTTTACAAACACACGCACACAGTGGCAGCTTTATTAGATTTACCTGCTAATTAGGGTGAATAAAAACATCCACTTGGAAGCGGAAGATGGTTCTAGATTTGAGTTAACTCGACAAATCGGAATGAGGTTCAGTAATCTGGTCCGCCTGTCTGTTCATGTCGTTAGTTTAGCTTGTTAGTTTCTCTGTCACCTTTATAACCTTGCTAGCATAATTCTGCTGTCTCTGCTTCCTCATACCAAGCCTCCAGGATCTATGGTGCTCATTTTCATCTTCATATTTTTATTCTTGGATTCTCCTGGAGCAGCTTTGCATGATTCAATGCTCGCAATAATTTTTAGTTATGTTATAATGGACCTTGGTGCAACCGTTCAGCTCACCCACTGTCTGAAAACAAGTTGTTATGGCTCCTGTTTTTCTGATTCACTGCCCATCGCAAACAGATTTAAAGATTTGAACAGCAGGTCGGTCCGGTCTGTGTGCAGGTGACGACAGTATCCACTCTCACTGGCATCATACCAAGCCAAGAAGAGAAAAACTAAGTCTTCAGAGCTGGTTGAATGTTATTGTATACAGTACTGCTCAAAAAACTTCACATTGTCAATAAATCACCGCTGCTATTTCCAGTTTTCATAGCAAAACATAAGTAAATGAGGGGTGGCTTAAGGCTTTGTTCCTTTAATGCAGTGCAAATCTGTTTCATTCAGCAATGATCACGTCCTAGTTCATGTTGCTGGGTGATTATTAGTCGTTGTTGTTAAACTTTAGTCTAATTAGAAATACTGCTTCCAGAAAAGCTCTGGTTTGGTTTAACGTCTGTTGTTGTTTTGTTTTTTTTCCCCTTCCTGGTTGGTATCATAGTGTGTTTCGGCCCGAGTACAGACAACAATGGTGTCACCGACAGCAGCAGCAGCAGCATCGCCGTAGTAACGCCTTCCAATGTGGAGGAGTTCAACAAGTGCACGAAGATTTTCGGTAGCCTGGCCTTCCGCTCTGAGAGCTTCTCATGGTGAGAGACTTTTACATTTTTAGAAACGTGTAAAATTCAGTAAAGACAACAAGCAGCTTGACACCAGAGACTTTATTCCGCCACAGCGCCACATCCCTCCCATTCAGCATTTCAAATATTTAATTTTGCAGCAACAACTTGTACACAATCCTTTTGCCGCCCGAGCCTATCCCTGCACATGTAACCAGACCGGCTTTAAACTCAAGTGTTTTTGACGTTGTGTCAACAGAGGACAAAACTGCTCCAATTTGTTTCTACACCAGTGTCATTCAAGAGCATTTCAAATAATGTAGCGAAATACCAACAGTTAATACAAAGCTTGTAGGTTTGCTTACATGACTTGTAACTTGCTGAGGTTGAGATACTACATGTTGATAAAATTCCCCGACAGCTGATTTAAGTGAACGCGTGTGTGGTTTCTGATGTATTGTTGAGGGTTGTCAATGATGGGTTAGTGTGATCTGAACCTGCACAAACAGGCTTGCATTCAGCATATTCCTCCTATTGCCTCCTGTGGATTGAATCTGTATCTCTGACTCAAGATCACCCAGACACATCGTCTCCATGACTTGTGTGGACTGGCGAAGGCATTTCTCACAAAATCCAAGCTTAACCTGGAGGAGATATTAATATTGAGGACAAACCAAGAGAAAATGAAATTGTTCCCAATAATCAAAGTGGCTTTTAAGTCTTACTTAAATCTTACGCTGTCCAGGGATCCTGCGAAGAACACCTCAGGCCTGACTTTGGAGCAGCTGAGTGCCTTCAGGACTCTGGAGGAGATCACAGGTACCACAGTGTTTGTTAAACCCTATGTGAGCTTTTTATTAAGTAACATTTTATCTGTTTCTCACACCGAAGTCTCCTGAGTTGGAATGTTTTCATCACCTCTGTGTGATCTTTAAACTTGCAGGTTATCTCTACATTGATGCCTGGCCAGAGCAGTGGACCAACCTCAGTGTGTTTGAGAACCTGAAGGTGATCAGAGGCACGATGCTCTACAAGTAAGACTTCTTAAAACTGCTCGTCTGTTGCTCTGCATGCTCTCCACTATTTCCCTTGTCATCCTGTTTGCACAATATGCCTGTTGTGTAACCATACTCAATCCACTTTACTGCAGTGTTTTTTGTTTTTTTTCCCTTCTGTGGTGATTTTATTATCAGCTTTATTATCAATAAACTTGCCAACGAGCTGGAAACAAACATTAGGTGTGCCTGCTAAGCGTATTTTTCTTCTCATGCAAGTGAGCATGATGGAAACGTGGAAAAAAAGTCAACTAAATGAAGAATAATAGTAAGTTTAAGTAATTTAAAATATCAATAAACTCCACTTCACCATCCGGATCGTCTATATGTGCCTTGAACAGCTCTCCTGTATTATTAAGATCGTTATATATATGCAGCACGTTTAATTTTCTTTCCATGCGGTGCGTCACTACATGCCAATGTGTCCACCCAACACTGTGTCTTTGTTTGTGTTCAGTTTTTTTCGACTGTTTCTGCTTCAGTTGAGGCAGTCTGTTCATTTTCAGGGTAATAAATGCTAATTATTAGCTAGCACTGCTGCCCTGCTGGCCAGTGTCTTAAACTAGGTCACGGTTAGCACCATCTGATCACCGTGCAGGTGACGTGTGCAACGTCAGGCTGTATAACACATGGTTGATGTTGAGAAAGAGTCTGTTTTAATGCAGCTTTTAGCTAAAGCTAAAAAAATTCCAACTGACAACTGTTTTATTATTTTCGATTGAAACGAATGTCTGAAAATGTTAGCTCCGCATTCACTTTTGGTTTCACACTGACCTCGGTCTCCATGGCCTCCGTTTGATCCCTTCATCCACAACAAGTGCGACTTCATGTGGACTTTGTCACTCAGCAGTTTGGCGACAGGACAAGTCATGCTTGAGTACTTTTTTCCTCCCACTTGGAAGTCTTTTTTTTTTCCTTTTACACAGTTTTACAAACATGGAACATGATGTCAGGGACTTAAACAGATTAACAACATCATCCAAAGCCATCGAATACACTGCAGGAAAATATTTCTATCAGAGCTTTTACACTTGGATTATAAGCTGTTCTGAATCTTGTTATAACAAACCCATTTTCCCCCCACTGTTAATCTCCTTGACTCTTAGTTTGAAGAGTCAAAGCCATCTTATCCATTGATTGTTCTAGGAAAAGGTCGATGTTTGGTGGTGTCTTCTGAAGCCAGCATTTTTTTTCCCTTTTTTACCAGAAGTCTAGAAGTCTACAGATGTTTTAAGGAATGTTTTGTGGATCCCGGGACAGAAATGTAGCATCCACTTTTACATCCAAAACCTCTGAATGGAAGGGCAGGATCAGAATATGTGGGCACAGTGTGGCATCATAAATTTCTCAATAAACTTTGTATTTTTTCCAGACTTGTACTCATCAGTGAACAACTGAATAATTCCTTATACATTCTCCATGTGGGAGAATTTTGCACTTGGATTTCTCAGGTTTTACACTGTAGGGCAGTTGTAGTGACGGTGCTGGAGCCACATTGATATGATGCTCTGCTTTGAGTCCCTCCAAAATGACCAAGATCCTTACTCTGCTCCGAAGAGCCCAAACGCTATTTGTAAGAAGCTTGTTTTCACAGAAAGATGCCGGGTTACAGCTGTGTCTCTTTTGCTGTTTGCTTCTTACACTCTTCTTTATTTAAAGCTTTGTTTACCACTCTTCATCTTCTCCCTCTCCATCCATTCAGGGGTGTGTTTTCACTGGCCATCCAGAATCTGCACATCGAGTCTCTCGGGTTGCGGTCGCTGCGCAGCGTCAGTGGAGGTTTGGTCTTGATTTACAACAACACACAGCTGTGCTACACCAACTCACTGCCATGGCAGAATCTCCTCCATCCCACCCAGGGTCCGCACCGCATCGTCAGCCACAACCAGGACCCTGCAGTCTGTGGTAAGTAAAGCCACAGACCTTTTAGTCGTGCAGCTGTCTTAAGCTTTTTTTTTTTTGTGGTCTAATGCAGTAAAAAAACTACAGGGTGAATCATGCTGCATTGTCTCTATGTTTTCAGAGAAAGAGGGGAATGTTTGTCACCCCCTTTGTAAGGCGGGCTGTTGGGGTCCGGGGCCCAGCCAGTGCGTGTCCTGCCAAACTTTCCAACGTGGCACCGAGTGTGTAGAGCAGTGTGATCTCTATCAGGGGTAAGAAAGTTTGCGTGCGTTTGTAGAGGTGTGGCAAAACTAAATCAATGCGAAAACAACTGATAACCTTCTTTAATTGTTCAGTGTACTATTTGTTTTATTTGTAATAATTCCCAGAACTAGTTCCCCAGTAAATATATCAGAAAAACGAATGATGTTTAGTTTTCAGATTAAAAACGTTTAATTTAACGTGTGCCTTGAAGCAATTTAGGATCTATTATCAGCGATAACGGTGTGTTTGAGTTTGATATGACGTGCATACATGCACATACAAAAGCAAATGCAAGATGGCGGAGCAAATGAGAAAACACACTGGGCTGTATACATGCGCACAAAATGAACCCAGTACAACCATTAGATGGTACAATTGCTTAGTTAGGAATTTATGTCTGCTAAGTGCCTGGAAAAAGCAGGATTAAAGTAAAATGCTCAAACATCTAATTACAGTCTCTTTTAGTAAGACTCAAACAACAGAGATTATTATTATTATTATTATTATTATTATTATTATACACTCCAAATTAAGCTAGTGATTTTGTTATTTACAACGCAACCAAATGCAAAATCATACCCTGCTCTCTTGCCTATTTTGCCTTGAATTGGATCGGATTTAAAAAGTTATCACCACACTATGGCTTGAATTTAGTCATCGCGACCATAACCTAACAAGGAAAGTAGAAATGTTATGTGTTTAGTTTCATAGAGTGTCTAAATAAAAAGATTAACAAATCTAACTGATTAAAGACATCATAGCCGTAAATACCTCTGAGGTCACCGTAGTATGGAGTGAGTGGCGTGCCCTATATATATTGCTCTATAACATATAAATGCTTTTATAAAATAAAAGCAGTAATACATGGAATATTTGGGAATTCATACATATGCAATTTTGCTTTCTATCTAGGTGTTAAATTAACATGTTTAATGTTGTTTCTTCAATGTAAAGCAGAACAAAAGTGTAAAAATTTAATTATTTTGAATCTGTGATGGAAATTGTATCCTGGACTGGAAATTTACAGTCCAGCATGATGTGATGTTTGCAGAAAGTTGGCAAAAATTCATACGATACTTCACGATTGTCTATAGAAGAAGAAGAAATGTCGTTGAGCTCATCGGGTTACTTGCAGCTGGCGTCTGTTTCTGAAGTTGTGTCTTCTCAGGATGGTGTCAGATGCTTCAGATAAATGCATTTAATTTAATCCTGGGATGTTACCTTACGTGCATCTTGTGCTTGCTTTGCAGGCCCGTACGTGAATACATAGATGGATCTAAGTGTGTTGCCTGTGATCCACAGTGTCGACCCCTCAATGGCTCAGAGTCCTGCCACGGGCCGGTAAGAAACATAGACCAAAGTGTAATACGGCTAGATAGGATTTCTAACTCCTTAAACCCCCATTTGGAGCTCAAAAGTACTTGTATATGACAGTTTATTTAACCTGGAGATGTATCGTTTGAATGAATAAATACAAGTTTATGAGGTTCTGTTTTCCTTTTTCACTTTTCTCAAGATGCATGTGGCATCACTGCAGGATGCATATTCTCATTGCATAGCTTGTTTTTGATGGTGCATTGTAGAGCTGAGATTACTGAAGCATTTATACACAGGGATAATGTTGCTTGCACCTTGCTTGCTTTAAAATAAATTATACTTTAAGCTATTTCTAATTACAAAAGTTCTTAAAGTGGTCTAATTTTAGCTTAAATTGAATCCTTTTAGCTGCTGTGGTGCTGGAAGTAGGATGTCGACGTCACACTGGGCTGTAGAAACTCTGTTATTTTTTTTATGTTAAATAAAAAAAATAAACATTGTTAAATATCGCTCTGTTTGCGTCTCAGGGTGCTCAACATTGCACGGAGTGTCGGAATTTCCAGGACGGCGAGTATTGCGTGGATCGGTGTCCCAGTGGCGTCAAGGGCGATCTGCATACTGTGTGGAAATACAGCAATGCCACGGGACACTGTCTGCCATGCAAGACCAACTGCACGCCACCGTGAGTGACGCCACATTTAAGCCCCAACTCACACACACATACACAAGCACGCAGTGAGACTGACTTCACAGACGGTGCTTTTCTCTTCCAGCTGCACTGTGAAGGATGAACAAGGCTGCCCCATTGATACCAGGACAGGGTGAGCGCACTAAACAACTTATTTCAGTTAGCTTTTCTGGGAGCTGTTACAAATTGAACTTCAATTTTTATGGATGGGCGCAGCGTTAAACTTTCTGTGTCTGTGTAGACCTGGCACGTCCATCGCGGCTGCAGTGGGTGGGGTGGTGCTCTTCATTATCCTGCTGGCTCTGCTGGTCTTTTACTTGAGGAGACAAAAGAAGCTAAAGAGGAAGGAGACAATGAGGAGGATCCTGCAGGAGCACGAGGTGAGGGACGACGTGCCAAATTAAAATGTGTGTTTTGCTCTAGCGTGGAGTCTTTATCTGCTATTTTCTTCCTTCACGTGCAGCTGGTGGAGCCTTTGACGCCGAGTGGTGCTTCACCCAATCAAGCTCAGATGCGTATATTGAAAGAGACCGAGCTGAAAAAACTCAGGGTGCTGGGTTCGGGGGCCTTTGGCACTGTTTACAAGGTATGGTCATCACGCACATCCATAACCACGTTATGTGCTGTTTGTTCAGAGGGTGGTGAGCTTTGTTCGAGATGATTTTGATTACTGTTTCAGGGAATTTGGGCTCCTGATGGGGAAAATGTGAAAATCCCAGTGGCGATTAAGGTTTTGCGTGAGAACACCTCACCAAAAGCCAACAAAGAAATCCTCGATGTGAGTATAAGCCAGGCAGAAAACCTTGAGGAGTTACAGTGGACGGAAATGAAGTTCACACGCTCATTACATCTGCTCTCTCTGCTTCCAGGAGGCATATGTGATGGCGGGCGTTGCCAGCCCGTACGTGTGTCGTCTCCTGGGGATTTGTCTCACCTCTACTGTGCAGCTGGTCACTCAGCTGATGCCGTACGGCTGCCTCCTCGACTACGTCAGAGAGAACAAGGACCGCATTGGTTCGCAGTTCCTACTCAACTGGTGTGTCCAGATTGCCAAGGTACAAAAACAGGAAACAAGGTGTTGCATTTCTGTTTTCATGCTTGTACTTGTGTGACCGCTTGCAGTGATATAAGCGGAAGTATATTTTGTTCATTTCTCTCTTATCTTACTTGTCTTTTCATATTTGATGTGGTTCCAGTTTGTTTATTTGTGGACACATGTAGGGTGATGGATCTGTGTGTTGGTGTATGTGTGTGTTGGTGTAGGGGATGAGTTACCTGGAGGAGGTTCGTTTGGTCCACAGAGATTTGGCAGCCCGCAATGTCCTGGTGAAGAACCCGAATCACGT